AATATATTACATAATATTATTAATATATGTTATTACAATATTATATAATATTATAATAAATACGTTATATTATAATTACTATTATATAATGTTATTAATATATGTTATTAAATTTTGTCATTAAAATATTAATATATGTTATATTTTATATATTATGTCATATATTTATAATATAATTGCATGTATTAGTTAAGTAATATAAAAATATTTTAAAATTATCCCAATTGCCTTTAAAGTAGAACAACATTGTTCTAATATGAAGGATGAGGTAAATTTTACTATTGGGACAAAATTTTTGTATATGAGTGGGGTAATTTTATCCCAAGTGGTGTAATTGTCTCACTAGTGTTCCAAAAAATCAATAACACAAAAAAGTATTATCCTTGTTCCATTGTCCCAATGAATAACACTATGAAATAGAATCCCCAAAATTATCTCATTATCCCCCAAAATATCCCAACCAATAACCCCCCTTAGGGTTTGCAATACAATCCTCAAATGTTCTCCATGCTCTTGTTAATTCTTAGAATAGATCAAGATGTCATTAATAAAAACCCCCACAAAATGATCTAAATATTGTTTGAATATCTGGTTCATCAAATCCATGAATGCGGCCGGCGCATTAGTCAGTCCAAAAGGCATCACTAAAAATTCATAGTGACCGTAGCTAGTCCTGAATGCTGTCATTACTACGTCCTCAGGCTTAATCTTTAACTGATGGTACCCTGACCTTAAATCAATCTTGAAAAAATATTAAGCTCCTTGAAGCTGATCAAATAGATCATCTATCCTTGGGTGTGGATACTTATTCTTAATGGTCAATTTATTCAACTCTCTGTAATCTATACAGAGTCTCATACTCCCATCTTTCTTTTTCACAAATAAGACCGGTACTCCCCATGAAGACACACTGGTTCTAATGAATCCTTTATCCAATAACTCCTGAAGTTGTTTCTTCAGTTCCTTCATCTCAACTGGCGCCAATCTATAAGGGGCTTTAGATATAGGAGTGGTCCCTGGGACCAAGTCTATGGCAAACTCTACCTCCCGATCTGGAGGCAATCCTGGTAAATCTTCTGGAAAGACATCTAGGTAATCTCTTACAACAAGTATATCTGAAAGCTTTTTCTCATTCAATTGGTCACTTATCACACAAGCTAAATATCCACTGCAACCTTGCCTCAACAATTTGTTAGCCTTCATAAATGGGATTAGGTGTGTGAGAGGTCTTCTACTTTCCTCTTGAAAAACAAAACTCGCCTCCGCTTGTGGTTTAAAGTTTACCAATTTTCTCAAACAGCCTACAGTAGCATGATGAGATGCTAACCAATCCATTCCTAGGATAACATCAAAATCTGACATGTCTAGGCATATAAGGACTGCATTCATGATATGATCACTCACTAAAACTCCACAATTCTCATAAACATATGTTGCTAGGAGACTATCACCCATAGGTGTGGAGACAATTATCTCAATACTTAATACTGTCGAAGAATTAGGAAAGTTCCTAGCAAAGTGAGGGTTACAAAAGAGTGTGTAGATCCAGGGTCGAAAAGTGCATGAGCGGTGAATGAGCATATGGGAAGAGTACCTTCCACCACAGATGGCGATGCTTGTGCATCCTTCCTTGTCAGAGCGAAAACTCTTCCTTGGTTCCTCTGGTTTTGCTACACACTCTGGTTGGACTGAGCCTTCCACTGCGGAGCACTTGATTATTGTGAGGCATTAGTTCGAACTGCGCGATTTCCTCCTGGTGCTCGCTCTGTTATCGGTTGATTCCTCAAGGTTGGACAATCTCTCTTGAAATGCCTAGGTTGACCACACTCGTAACATCCACGGTGAAGTCTGTAATATCTGGAGTGATGATTTCCACATCTGGGGCAGACTGCTGACTTGTCGGTTATGGGACCTCCTTCGGTCCGTGGGTGTTTAGCTGAATTCTGCTTCTTATTGCGGATCTCCTGATACTCTAGCTGGTCTTTCTCAATTTTAAATGTAGTCTCGACCAGTTCTACGTAGTTCCTGATCCTGAGAGCTACTAGTTTTCCTCTGATATTTTCTCTGAGTCCTCTTTGAAACTTCTTGGCCTTATCTAAGCTGATCTCCTCTTGCTCATCGTCCTCAATAGGATCCTCCACCATCGGCTCATCCTCTTATGCCTAATCCTCCTCATCCGGGTCAACCAGCCATCCAAGTGGAATTCCCTCTAGTATCCCACCAAGTAGAGGCTTCTGCACAACCTCAAATTCCCACTCCATGGGCTCCTCCTATGGATCATCATCCTCCATAGGGTTCTCTTCTGGCTCCTCCTCCTCGGGATCCTCCTCTATAGGGTCCTCCTTGGGGTCCTCCTCCTCGAAATCCTCCTCTATGGGGTCCTCCTCCTCAGGTTTCTCCTCTTCGGGGTCCTCCTCTTCAGGGTCCTCCTCTTCGGGGTCCTCCTCTTCAGGGTCCTCACTCTCAAGCTCGCCACTCTTCGCTAATTGCCCACGGGTGTGATGGCCAATCGAAGAGTAATCCACTCTCTCCCTAAATGTCTCCTCTGGATCAGTCTCCTCAGAGCTGATCTCCCAATCATCTGAATGTGTTGACCACACCTCCCTGCTGCTAATGGATCCTTCCATCCCAGAAACATTCGAATCAGAATCTGCAATTCCTGCCAAAAGTTATCTATTATCATCCAAGGGTACAAAGCCAATCTAATAGAAGTCTAGATATTACAAGAATGTCAGAGAAAGATAATCTTTCCATGACCGGTGTTTGACACCGACACGAATCATCCCTAAGTCCCCTTGGTATTTTATGTTTGAGTCTTAAGGTGTCAACTTGGCTCTGATACCACTTTGTAACGCCCCTCAGGAAGATACATAAAAATTTGATGCATAACCTATCTGTAATAAGAATGGTCGACCTGCTAAATCTTTATGCACATCACAATAGATATACTAAAGGGCGAAAAATAAGGTAGTGGAGATGTATATGCAATACTCAGGATCACGAGGTTGACAGCAAAGTCCATAGAATACCAAAATAGAGGAACACTAAAGAGAACTACAAAATATTACAATAATAGGAGTGGCTATAACATTAGTACAGGTTTTATAAGTCAAAAATACTACAAAAGTGAACATAAATTAACTCCTACTAAGAGTTTTCTTTGGAGCTAATCTTTGACTTTAGGGTCTGTAATCCCCTTATCCTTGCCAGTAGTATGACATGTGAGTGGATTCAGAAACAATAGGTGTGAGCCTAAGGCCCAATAGGTAATCATAAAAATCTCGGGCACAACATAAGGGAACGAATGAAAATGATAGACATAGATATCAAACTTGAACAAAGGTATCTCAACATTAAGTTGCCATTCTTATATTGCTATCATTGACCGAAATGAAATAACATGTAAAGATGAATAATCAAGGTCTAATATTCAGGATTCCAAACTCCCTAATCATGTGATAATCAATAAACCGCGCATGCCTTTAGACACCCACCGGTGAGCGTCCTCACACAGGGCATTTATTAGACCCTAGAGGGGGGGGTAATTAGGGTCTTATGCTAATCTAATCCCAATTAAAAGCTAATTAAAATTATGTTGATCAATTTGATCTTGCAAGAAGAAATATGATATGGATATGAACAATAAAGATGAGTAAAATATACGCTAAGCAAAACACAAACACACGATATGTTTACGAGGTTCGGTCACCATGACCTACATCCCCGCTCCTCACCTCGAGGAGATATCCACTATCACAATCCGGTTTGGAAGCCGGAATTTCTACACACTCGGTTTACAAGATCACCGAAAACTCTCACACTACACAAACACTATGCAATCACACTTTACACACTAAGTGTAGGAACCTACCCCGTGTCCTCCTTCTCAAGTACTCGATTACGACCTCTCCCTGGGTTTGTCAATCGACGCCACTCCTATTGGATTCGACCCAGTGTCTCGCCTCACACTTCTCTCGGTGTACAAGTGTATTACAAGTGATTCTCACAAATAAAAGTTAAATACAATGATTTGTTCTCAAATAACAAGTGAGAACACAATAAAGCTCACACACTATATGGTATGAAAATATTAAGCTCAATAAGTGTGTGTGATAACAGTGAATGAAACTCAATAAATATAGCTAAATGAAATGAAAAAGAAATAATAAGCTATATAAGAGTTTAGAAGACTTCTCAAACAAGAAGAACAGTAGAGATGATTCCAATAGGATTTGAATGCCACTTCTTGATGTAGAAAAAACTTCTCTTGAAAACTGATTGATGAAGTCAACTATTAAACAGCTCTTAAACACAATTAATATTTTGTTAAACAACAAACTTGGATTTCTTGGTTATATAGAAGAAGAGCAGCAATGGGGTATTTATAGCACCCCAATACAACAGCAAAAACATAAGTAAAAGACCAAAAAACCAGTTTCAAAACAGCTATAAAAAACTAGCCGTTATAAAGATCTGACAGTTCGGCGGGGGGCCAAGGCTGGCGGTCGACCGGGGCGGTCGACCGAAAAACTCTTTGGATGTTCTCTCGGTCGACCGGTGCGGTCGACCGCGAGCACAAAACAACTGAGCTCAGGAAAAATACAACTAGCGGTCGACCGCACCGGTCGATCGAAAACTGACATATAGCATATTGACAGGTTTTGGGGCTGTTTTGAAAATTCATTAAAAATATCAAACCAAATCCAAAAATAGTGAAACTTTGGGGAAAGATTCTAAATGATGAAATGAACATGTTTAAAGAGGAATTTTTGGAAAATCAATTTTCGTTTGTGAGAACTCCCTGTTTTAGAAAAGTGTTCAAAAAACCTGTTTTTCGTGAATATAAAAATTTACATGAAGCTTGTAAATATGTATATATATATTGAGCATGTATTATATGTATATAATGAAGTATGAAAGAGCTGTAAACATGAGATAAAAGTTATTGTAACAATGTTTGATGAAAAATCATTTATATGATAGAAAACGTCAAAAATCGTGTTAAGTGTACATATATTGAGCTTAGATATAATCATACAATATATGTAAGTAAACCAAACATATACCTAGGCAAATCCACACATATGAACTTGAATCTTTAACGCTTGATTGACGTGTGTTGAAATACTTGAAAAGAGAAACATAAACACAAAAACTAGAGAATATATTAGCGACAAATTGTTTGATAAATCATCATCAAAACTATAGGGTCAACATCATTGTCTTCATCGGGACACATTACTATTACCACCCACCGGTGAAGCTTACTTCACACAGGGTATAATCTATGAATATAGACTATTAATTATCAATAAAGAATGGAATATTATCATTACCAATAGATGAATCATTGAAGGAAGTCGAAATGTTGCAATATAATATTTTGAGGATATCAAAGATATAAAACTGATATAAACAACATTAGGATGACAATGGCTAAGAAATCACAAAGAGTCAACGTATGAAGTGAATCAAATAGGAATATTATGAAAGTGATAAGATATAAAAATTAGCATGGGAAACTAACTCGCAGGAATTTCAAGAAAGAAATCAATCGAACTCTCAAAGACTTGAGAGGGAACAACGAAAGGTTACCTATCGATTATGCCGGGATCCTCTCGGCCAACGAATGAATCAAAGATTCTCTGTCCTATATACATGTATACCCACATGAGATTATAAACACTATATATTTTATAATTTTCTAACTTAAAACTTATATTATGGTATAAGCTATACTCTAGATGATTACATTCATTATCTCTACCATGCACAGCAGCACCAGTAGTGTATATGCAACAGATTTAGGTGAATGGATGGTATAACAATTGATGTCCAAAATGCATGAAACTAGTTCCAAATAACTCCATTATGAGTCTAATTTTATAATATAAAAATATTACATCAATGCATAGTGTATAGTAAGTGTTATGCTCTCAGCAAACTATGCCTATCAAAACTGTAGCAGAAAAACAGAGATTACTATCTAGAATGAATGATTTATTTCGGGTACTTAACACTATGCAAATGATCTCAAAATTGGTATATAAGTGATATGATGGATTAGATTCCAAGTTCTATTAGTTTCATCAAATTTTCATTTTTATAATGCATGTTACAAGCAAAACAACACAGGGGGTAGACTAAAATTTCCAGTACATATACAAGCTATTAGAACTAGGTTTAGACTTACCAAATATTATTTGAATTAATTCAAACTTACATCAACACAAGGACAATTGAGTCTAGTTTTAGGAATAGAAGAATTTCATGCATGCATGGTATATGTTGAGATATATGTTCTTTACAAAGGACATAACTCTGGCAGACAGTTTCAGATATCTGCACTGAGTTAAACCATACTTTCAAACTACTAATTGATTTTAGAATTAAACAAACAAGTTCAAATAAAAGCCACGAATGTGTAGTTTCTACAACAGAAAGAATTTCATGCATGAATGGTATATGTTGCGATATATACTCTTTACAAATAACATAACTCAGGCAGATAGTTTCAGACAATGCACTGAGTTAAACTATATTTTAAAACTACTAATGATTTTAGAATTAAATAAACAGGGTCTCCAATGAAAGCCATGAATGTATAGTTTCTAGAACAGAAAGAATTTCTTCATTTGGATATATATAAAGAAAGTTATGATCTTTTTACTGATAGTGTATCATGATAGAATTTCTGCACGAAATTCTGTTTCAAGATAAATTGACATGCATGCCCTAAAATGTTACATGAAAGACTAAATTTAAATTAAATCATATACTTTTAGTTCTAACATCCTTAATGACAACATGCAACAGAGAATATTACCTAAGGTTTGGACTTGCTCCACTTCCTCCTCCAAAATCCTCAACTGCCTTCTTTCTCCACTCCTTCTTCTTCAATGTTCTTGAGAGATGAAAGCTTTTGGAATCTTTTTTTTCTTTTTTTTTATAAGAGGAGAGGTGCTGGGGATGTTCAGAGGAGAGGGAGGAGGTTTTGAAGAGATTTTTCTTCTTAAATGGCAAAATGAGAGGTGGAGGGCACATATATATAAGCCCATGTGAAGAGAAATCTTCAATTTGGCCAAAGTTGAGGGTTTTTGTGCAAAATTTCACCCACTATCATGGCTTAACTATTTAAATAGCTATGTTAATTAGAGGGTTTCAAATTAGGTATTTAATAATTGGATTACCTCTAACTAAAGTTTAGAACATGGTTGGTTTAGGTTTATATGCTAAGTTTGTATGCATGCTATAACTTCGTTAACTAAATCATAATATGGAAATTAGCTAAGTTTAAAATTCTCATGCTAGAAGATTATCTGGGACACAATAAAAGAAAGAATTTACTAACTTATAGATCGGTATCGATAACGGTATCTGATCAACGGAAGGAAAAAAATGGAATGTTACATATTTAGTTATCATTTTAGTTTAATTTCCAACATTTCCTTTTTTGTATAATTTCAGTACTCAATTGTTTTATATGAAACTTTGATCAGATATTGTTTGACTTGAGATTTGTTGCTTATGGAGATATCTTGTGTGAGTGTTTGTATATCATATTTCTCCTTAGATAATCCTTGTATGCAACTATATACTTATGCATTATTGATTCTTAGTTGACATA